GGCATGTTTCCCTTTTAAGTTTGAAAAATTTATCTCCACTATCACTTTTTAAAATTTTCTTTTCCAATCTACCACAATTTCAAAATCATTTTCCTCAATCTCAACATAAGAAAACACTTTTGCCGTTTACGCCTTTTTCTTACTTTTTCTCTCTTTGATAGTAAAAAATTTAGAGAATCTCTCTCTTCCACATATTCGAAGATCATACATGCATCCCATGAAAAAGACAATTGCTTTGGAATGGAATTTGTTGCGAAACCAAACAACCATATAAAATTAACACACAAGATTGTTCTTCTATGAAATAAATGGAAAAAAATATTGGCTTGGTTAGAACTTAGAAGTTAGAACCCACAAATTTAATGTCGCTGAAATTGTAAAAGAGTTATGTATATATATATATAAAAAAAAAAAGATTATGACATTTATACTTCCTTTGTGGTAAAATAAGTTGTAGGTCCATGCACAAATATACTAAAAAAAAAAAAGTCAAGTGAGTTGGTGTTCTTATTGTCTTATTTCTCTAAGGAATGACGCTCGAATTTCAAACCGGTGGATAGACGCAGAATCAAGAGAGCAAAGCCCTATCGTCTAGGTTCAGATGTCATAAATAAGAGCCATTTGAGTTGTTTCTAACACTTGTGAATGATGTAAATAAAATATAATAGACACGTATCTACAACCATGTGTTATAACACTACTTTTTTGTTCATCGTTGTAACACTACGTTTTTTGGTTCATCATACAAGTGCAAACATAATGTCTATTATGAATGATGCAAACATAATGTCTATCACTAATCTTGTCATAATGCTACGTTTTTGGTTTATCATTCAAATGCACTTGTACGCAAGATTACTGCTAGACCTTAACAACTTCTGTCATCACTACAACCATGTGGTACGCATGTCATTTTTTCGTCACACATTTTTGTATGTCTTTTCACTATATTGGATAGCATCCAAAATTGTACTAAGAATCACAAGGAAAAAATACACCATAAATCATTAAATGTAGTCACCAAATTTTGCAACCATAATTTTTGAAACCTTTTAACCTCATAAGTACATTTTTTGAAAAAAGTAACCTCAAAGGTTGTGATTGTAAGTCTACAAACATCAAACATGATGGAGATTGTTTCCAAGTCATCATCCTTAGCCAATATGTTATCCAACTTCCTAAGAACTTGATTAAGAAAAGCTTGACAATTCCAAAATCTCTTTAATTTTGTTCTGAATTGATGCGAGTTATACCACGCGTGATAAGCAAATGGATTAGACCAATCCTGTCACAATTCATAAATGTTTGGTTTGAATTTTGAAACCAAAATCTTTGAAACTGCTAGCGATTTGGGATACAATTTTATTTAGGAAAACAAAATAACTTTGTGATACAAAACAAATTGTTTCTAG